TATATATATATATATAATTAACGACTTCTCAGATAGCATAAAAACACTATGCAAAAACCATGTGAGTGGATTTATAACTGGACAGAAAAAAAGCTTTGTAAACATCAACATTAATTGAAGTCGTTAAATTTACAGGACAGAAACATGGCCACTTCTCTAACTGGGTGGCATTTTAATGCGTATCAACAGCACCACCTAAAGGTCTCACGTTAAACATTGTTTAATATTGTTCTGTGTTATGGGCTTTTACGTGTTTATTAAAGACGCGCAGCTGACATGAAATACAAGGGACGATTACATGTCCTGTGGTGATCATACTATACACCATGTAATGCAATAGCTAGGCTACTCCAATTTTATATAGGTCTTTCTTTATATTCAGCTTTTATACAGAAACTGTGTGCCTTGAAAATTAATAAAGGCAAAATATTGCCTAAAAAATCCAAAGAAGGCCAAAAAAAATCCTTCCTCTGTCATCCTTATGTCTGTCGTTACAGCCTATGTTCCAAAGCCATTAGACGAAGTCAAGTTCACATCAATGATCATTATTCGTGCAAAAGTATTTTCTCAGAACATGAGTTTTGCTATTTAGAACACAATTTAAAGCGGAATTGTCATACGCCAAGCACTCCTCGCTGTGATTAGAACATTTAATCGCATAGCCTACCACAGGAAAATTGTTCTAAAGCAGCACATCCTCTGCAAATATTTCTGTTTAATTCATGTAAAAATGTTGTCATTTCTGGATTATAATTTCATGAAATTTCAGTGCTTAGCTTCATTATTAAGAGTGTCATATTTTTAAACTAAATGTGTAGGCCTATGTCAAATGTATAACAGACTTTAAAATCATTCTGTTTGCTTCATTATTTCGCTCACTCCAATAAAAGAGTGCGTACGCATAGAGTGTCCGTACGGTGCGCACATATTTACGCCTATTTTTTATCAATTGCGTACGCACATTTCCATGCCCATTTTGTGCGTACGCAACGTTTATACATCAGGCCCCTGATCTTTTACATTTGACAAAGTTAAGGTGCGTTTGCCTTCGGTATTTCCCGTGCTGCAGCACAGGCGGGAGAATCAACTTGGACAACAACTAGCCTACATACCTTAGGTAACAACGCGCTATACAATGTAACGTGACCAGTTCTGTGTAGCAAATGATTCCAAAAATTAAGTACTTGCACTTAACTACAGTTACATTTTTATTGATTACATAATTACATATTATTCACACTATAGCAATAAATTATTCATAAATTATTAGTTCTTCCTAATTCTTTTTCACCTTTTAAATTTTTCTTTCTAAGATAGCCTGATTCTTATGTACATTCGGAAAGTCTTTCAGTTTTGTGGACATTCACATAAAGACCAGTCACTAGTCAGGTGGCTATAATTACACAGAAAAATGAGAGGCCACACAGCATTTGAACACTGGGTTTACAAAAATGTGTTTTCTCAACATTTCAACATTGCATTAACTACTGATATACACATACATTTTTATTTGAATTAGCACTCAATGTGTTATTTAACCATGTATTACTAAGTCTTTAGAAGGCTTTTGTCTTTCAAACACATTAAAATGCACAAATTTACATTTTTTCTTATTTACATGTAATGCAGGGTTTCTCTCTCTCTCTCTCTCTCTCTTGCATCCAAACCTCTTTCACCTCTGTTTTTAAGGTAATGAGTTGTTATTTTAAAACGATTTATTCTAATTGTAAATTTTTATGATTTAATTCATTATTAGCTTTTCATTAAACATACGAACCCCTTGCCATTTTTTTTATAAACCCTAGTTTGGGAAACCTTGATGTAATGTAATGTTTAATGCACTTCATGTTTTTGATAACAACAAATGGAATATATTTTCTTTCTCTTTGTATTTTTATATCAATATCGCACAAGATTATCCTTTTTAAATCAATGTAATACACAAGTTAGGTCAAAAGTAATCTAAAAGTATTCAAAAAGTAGTCTTATATTACCTAAAATGTGTAATGTAATAGATTTTGTCTAATGTCTATTTTCTTTCTGTCTATTAATCTGTTTTTTATAATGTTGTAGATTGTAACTATATATATATATATTTAGGGGGGGGAGCATGAGCTCTGATGAAGACGTGGCAGCTGCATCCAGACATACTCATTTCATAGGGAAGAAAGAGAACATCATTCAAGCCAGACGAGTGAAGTCAGTTGGTGAAAGAGACGTTCTCGTTATTTACCACCAGGGGGACTTCTATGCTATTGAAGTGCGCTGCTACCGTAGGTTAAGGACCGGTTGATTTAAAGGGATATTCCGCCCAAAAATTAAAATGTTGTCATCATTTTCTCATCCTTATATCATTCCAATTTCTTTCCCTTGACACAAATAGAAAGTATACACCTATATAACGCTTAGGCCTGGTTAATCATTTTGTCTGCTCAGAATTTGACAGATTGAAGGCCATGTACATCCTTCGTCCTCATTAATATGTTCATAAAATATATCTGTTGACATGTATTAAACAATATATGTTGAAATAACACTGTTATGTTTTTATTTTGTTGCAGACTCTGGAGGTCCACTTCAGGAAGGAGATATTGAGGTGAGTTGTTGTGAAGCATTTAATTAGACCATTTCTTTTCTTATTTATATTATACACTCTTAAAAATAAAGGTGCTTCACGATGCCATAGAAGAACCGTTTTGTCTAAATGGTTCCATAAAGAACCTTTAACATCTGAAGAACCTTTCTGTTTCACAAAAGGTTCTTTGGGGCGAAAGAAGGTTCTTCAGATTATAAAAAGGTAAGAAAGAGATGGTTCTTTAAAGAACATTTGACTGAATGGTTCTTTGTGGAACCAAAAATGGTTCTTCTATGGCATCGCTTGAAGAACCGTTTGATGCACCTTTATTTTTAAGAGTGTATGCCACAAATTTGTTTTAATTGTTCATTTTCTCTTTTGCCAATGAAGGACTTTGATGGGCGACCATCCATAGTGTGCCCATGGCATAAGTATAAAATTACATTAGCTGAGGGTGAGGGTCTCTATCAGGCAGTGGACCCTTCTGTGAAACCCCTGAAACCAACCTGGTGCTCCAGAGGTGTTAAGCAAAGAGTCCACACAGTGACGCTGTCTAATGAAGACGTGTTCCTCACCTTAAATGACTCACCAGGACCCACTGACTCTGATTACTATCAAACTGAGAAATATAGAAACACTTTTCTGAAAGACTGGCCGAAGAAAACGAAGTGACATCACAGGAAGAGATATGAGATAAGTTGAGTGTCTCAGGTATCAGCTGATCAGCAAATGTGTTCTGCTGAGTTCTTTTATACCTGTCACTGCTGGAAAATCTAGTTAAGCTATAAAGCTGGTCTGGTTTGTAACAGACCTAAGCTGGTCAACCAACTCATTGGTTGTGACAAGTGCACAGACAGCGAAAGAAATTGGTCAGAGTAGACACCTAAAAACAAGCGTATGTAACTTTGCAGTACTATCCAGTTATGTTTGTAGTACACTTAGGATGTTCTTAACTACTTCTTATCCTATTATTGTTGATAACAAAGTTTGGCACAATCATATTTACATTACAGTGTTACTGAAAATGATGATAAAGTCATAGGAAATTGAAAAGTAAAATAATGTACTATTATATTCCCTGTTTAAAATAAAGAATGAACGCAGTATATGCTTAGACTCAAGTGTCCAACGTCTTTTAATAATATTTTTAATTTTGTGAACAGGAGGGAGGTCCTCAGAGCTAGTGGGGGGTTTGATTTAAGTACTGACAGTGATGACTGATAGTGGAGTGTGTCAGGGGGTCAGAGGGTGACATGGAAAAATTAAAGGCCAAGGATGGAAGTGAAAGGAGGTGTTTAAATGAGAGAAATGGGTTTGTAATCTGTTTGTAAAAAGGAGCGGTTGAGGTAGACTTGAGGGCCGGAGGAATGCTTAAACATAGCAAATGTAGATAACGTTCTACAGCAATGCCAATGACTAAAAAAGATCTGTAAGATGAGATGCAATGCAGGAAGTAATTTCCTTTCCAATCAATATCAAGTATGCAGTGCATGCAGGTTTGATGAAAGAAAATCTCACCTATATGCACATTATAGAGCACAATATTTTTAATAGTACTTGATTTGTTCATATTTTAAGAACATCTTGCAAAGCAAAAACAATAATAGCAACCTAAACACAACTTAAAATAAATGCATATTGTCAAATTGTTTAAACAAAACTTACTTCAATCCTTGGGTGGTAAAGCATGTAAAATAACATCAGTGCAGTTTAGGCTTCACTCTTAAGGGGTCAAAGGATTCAAGGATGACTGGAAACCTTTCATTTACTGCTATTCAACTAGGCAGCTTGACTTATAGGTTTCCATAACACATTACCTGATTAAAAAAATTCCAAGTGACTGTACAAGGCATTAAGATTAACACAAAAGATTTTTTTTAAAAAGTACACCGTGGTCAGAGGTGGAGACCTGTGCAAAGGAAGGTATTTAAAGTGCCATAGGGGGGTGCGCAGCCCCCCAGTAACCCTATCTTCACCATAATGTAGGATATCCTGATGGCAAGGGTAGCTCAAGACGACCAGACCCAAACAAATAATAATAATCACACATCACTATTTCTAAAATCTAATGTGATAATATTAACTTCAAACTAGAAAATATACCCTACATATACAGTCCTAAACTGTGTCAGCGCCATTTCAGTCCCTGTGCCCCCTCCCCAGATGCAAATGAATGAGCGTTGCACAGGTAGTAGAATGTCTAATTAATTATAGTTAGTAGAATGTCTAAAGTGGACTATCAAAATACAGTGTAAGCACTCTGTTTTCCTTTTACCAGATCTGCCAGTTATGTAACTCATCAGCCTATGACAGCTCACCTCAAGCTCTTCACTTCAGACTGTAAAAAAGCTTGCTTTCTCTGCAAGGGGAATTTGTGTGTGTGTGTGTGTTTAGTTGTCAATGAGAGAAATAGAACAGGAATGTATGTATCTCAGACTGGGAATTTGTGTAGGCTACATCGTATGTGTGTGTATGTAGATAATCTAGAACTTAAATCACTAACTTGTAGCCTATATACCGGTAGTATGTATACATTTGTATGTATAGGTCTAATTAAAAATGAATTGGTCAGCTTTTTCATTTGTTACACACATTCACACATAGTGGTGAATATTCGCAATTGTTACTGTTATCTAAATGTGGTCGACATTCGTTTTACTTTTTACAAGGCCAAGTCCAACTAAAACACCACTTGTACAGTGCAAGACACCTATTTTTAACGAGTTACCTAAATAGACTTTCCTACAATATGTTTTCAAACAATTTTCACTCTGAAATCGCGTGTGTAGCTTTAAAAAGTGACGTTTTGCCGTCGGACCGGAGTTGTAATAATGTTATGCAACTTTGCAAAGAGCTGTGGGGTCTGCCCACTTCATGTTAGGGATGGGCGATACCACTTATTTTGTTTTCGATACGATACCGATATTTTTCAAGGCAGTATCGTCGATATCGATACCGATTCGATACTTCTGAACTAAACTTTTAAATTATGAAATTTATTAAATTACTAAGAGTAAAATGGGTAATGAAAACCACTTAACTTTATGTTGAAAACGCATTTTAGCCCGTTTAATCCCAAATTTTTCCCAGACATGAAAATATGTAATAATACAAATGATGTGTCATTAGTAACCCTTTGAAATAATCAATAATTTTTTTTTTTTTTGAAAAGTGTGTGAAATGGGGTATCCCTACTTCATGTCACTATGATGAAGACTGATGATGAGATGTGTGGACTGCGTTTCTAACCCCCTTCCCCCATAGGCAGACAGAGAGATGAAACAAATCAACGCGCCTTTAAACAGAACCATGTTGTCATTCTGACTGCTGTTATCTGACTGCCAGAGCGGAGACGGACCCGCTCGTCATCCATTGCAGAAGAAATACACTTTTTATTCTTTCATTCCACACACTCTTCACAGTAAACATGCCTAGCAAGAGAAAGAAGAACAAGCGCCGAATGAGAAAAGTGGTGAGTACATTTACTTTCCTACTTTTTATTTGATTTTTTATTCAGATTCATTGTCCTGCAAACAATTCAGATTTAATTTTTAGCGTCCAAACTGTTTTAATATCTGATTATTTTTTTTGTAGTTTTTTCTGTCGATTTTGCATGGACTTTATATTATATATATATATATATTTTTTTTTTTAATAAACTGCATAATTCATTTTTAGCGACCCTTTCTCCAATAATGTTATTTAATTCTGTTTATTTATTATAAATAACATTTAGTAAACTGTCGTCATAGGTTTATAATTTTCTGTTCTCTGGTCATTGGTCCATTTCCATATGAAGAATTAATTGATTGTTACTTGCAGTGTCATATGTAGTACAAGGGGTGTGTCCCATAATAACCAGTACAGAGATGCAACCGAATTGCACATCCTACCTTGTATCTCTAGAAACATTTGGATTAATAAATAAATAATATATAATAATAAATAACAATAATTGTGTAAATATTGCAAGTATTTTCATTGTAAAAACTTTTTTTTAAAGTGTTGCTTGGATTGTGCATATGCAATGCCCATTTAAAATAACATACTTCCGACTTCTGACCCATCACTGTTTAGCATTGTGCCTGATAACAATAAATACCAGAATCATAATAATAACAATTACTGTCTGTTTTTGTGTATTCCATGGGTGTGTTTCACCTCTAAAGTTTGATTGGTTTGCTTTGTGGCCTTTTTTCTTTGTTCTGTCAGTGCAATAAACCAAATCTTGCCTTTTGACCCCACCTCCAAACTCATATGGACTTTTGTTGATTTTGGCACGTCCTTTGGGTCAGTCTAATTCCAAATATGGTTCAGGGCACATTCCTACAGAGGCAGTTGGTTCAGAGTTTGCATCCACTGGTTTTGTTTATAACTGACCCATTGATTTTTGGAAAGTGATGTAGTTTACATTTATTTTATTAAACGTTATTTGAAAACTTTATTTGAAATGTAGTTTACATTTTGTCAGTGCAAAGAAATGTTGCACTATATTGACCATGCCTCACAAGACATTTTTTTCTTCTCTGACCAGTGACATAATGAAACACACACAGTTTGTGCAAATGAACACTGGACTCTTTGTTTGAATTTTACAACAGCTTGTAAAATTATATGTCATTAAAATCTCAACCTTTTCATTCTGCTTAGCTAAACATGTAGCTGATTAATGCTCACTTGTTGTCCTAAAACCTTGGCATGCAGTCATATCAACATAACTGCCTTTCACACAAGTACAGCAATAGAGGGGTACACTGTAAAAAAAATTCTGTAAAATTTACGGTAAAAAACCGGCAGCTGTGGTTGCTGGAATTCTAACGTAAGAAATACGGTAGCAACGTTTTAGGTTTTACGGGTTTAACTTAAATTTACAGTTAAATACCGTAATTTCATTAACAGATATAATGTTAATATACCATCCTATTGAAGTACTGAAATCTGTTTTGTACCTTTGTAATACACTGATAACCACCAAATGAAACACCATCACGGTAACACACATGAAACTGAAATAATGCAATAAACATTCATTTAACAACATTAGGTGTAACACACAACCCTAATATACAAAACTGATAAGAAAAAACTAAGAAACCGTTATTTCAACAAAAGAATATCAAATTTGAAATGTAACGCAGGGAATTCTGGGAATGTCAATTTACGGTTATTCACTGTAAATTATACGGTCTTTTTCACTTCCAAAAACGGTATACTACCGTAAAATTAATGTCCAATACATGTAATGTCCAATACAGTTTTTCACCGTATATAGTAGGAGAATTTACCGTTAACCATTTAACAGGTTTTTACTGTAGCATTTTTACAGTCTTTTACCGTTAAATTCACGGTCATTTTTTACAGTGTATCTTTTATCTCTCTAGCTGTTACGCCCTAAGCTGGTCCTAAACAGGGCACATTTCACCATCTCTAATCATCCTGGTAAAATAGGAAATAGTGAGTACTGGGGGTTGAGTTCATTCCAACACCATGTTTGTTGCTAACCACCCTTCAAAACAGAAGAATTTTTTTTTTTTAACTCAGTTGCCAGATCCAGTCAACTCATATTTTTCAGCTGTAGGCCCATCCACAATCTTCCAAACTACTTTCTCCTGTTTTTATAGAATGAACAGCCTTGAAGCAAAATGTGCTTCTTTTTTTTCCCCCTATCCACCTCCGCTGTTCCCCCAAACGGCAGGCCGCTTATTCTATTATGCTGGCCTGTTTCATGGACTTGGGCCCATGTTTTGCCTGATTTGGCTTTGTCTGTGCTGATGCTAGTCTTCACACATGGTTGCATAATTTGGCCTTAATTGTGCTGGACACTGTACATCCCATACATGCACAATGAGAGCTTACATTCTTTTGAGGCCTATGTAAACTTCACTGGCCAGCTCTTGCTTTTGGATAATGAAGCTGTGAGTGTGAATATAATGCGATTATGGTTCCATTATGACATGATTAGCATTTTTGTCTGTTCTGTTTAGCCCCATCCAGAGCTCCAAGGGGGTCTGACTCTTCCAACTCACTGGACTAAGAATGTTTGAATCAATTGGATTCAGCCATTTTTAGCCATTAGACAGCTAACTTTTGTTCACTTATGTAAGCTTTTAATTAAGTTGTTAAACCCTGTCTAACAATATTATGAGGTCAGCTGAACTAAAGATAAGAAATAAATTTGTTCTGATTTCAAAACTCAACTATTTCTCATTCTTTCATTTGAATTGAGCAGCAGGCCCAAAGAAAGGCTTTGGAGGAGAGGTTTGTCTCCTCTGGAAAGGGAACCCCAGGAGTGTGTGCTGTCCCTGCCCCAGTTCCTGCACAAGTTCCAGTT